AGCGACCCTATGATCATGCAATTCCTCTTTTCCCTGGGTTTCAGCCTGTCAATGTGCGACCCTACCGTTATACACCAGCTCAAAAAGATGAGATTGAGACTCAGGTCAGTGAAATGCTTACCAAGGGAATTATTCAGCCCAGCAGCAGTCCATTCTCTTCGCCTGTGCTCTTAGTCAAAAAGAAAGATGGCTCTTGGCGGTTTTGTGTGGATTATCGCCATCTCAATGCGATTACTGTAAAGAATAAGTATCCCTTGCCTATCATAGTAAAGAATAAGTATCCCTTGCCTATCATAGATGAATTATTGGATGAATTGGCAGGCGCTCAATGGTTTACCAAGCTAGATCTTCGTTCCGGCTATCATCAAATTCGGATGAAAGTGGAGGACGAACACAAAACTGCATTTAAAACACATAATGGACACTTTGAGTTTCGTGTGATTCCATTTGGATTGACTAGTGCACCAGCCACATTTCAGGGTGTCATGAACAGTATTCTCTCCTCCTTGATGCGTCGTTGCGTGCTAGTCTTTGTAGATGATATCCTCATTTATAGTCAAACTTTGGAGGAACATGAGGCTCATCTTCGGGCAGTTTTTCAAATCTTGACTCGACATCAACTCAAGGTGAAGCGCAGCAAGTGTTCTTTTGCTCAACAGCGGCTAGCATATCTTGGTCACATTATCAGTCCAAATGGGGTTGCTACAGATGACAAAAAATTCAGGCAGTTCGTGATTGGCCACCTCCTCAATCAGTAAAGGAATTGCGTAGTTTCTTGGGGTTGGCTGGGTATTATCGCAAATTTGTGCGCCATTATGGAATCTTGAGCAAACCTCTGACCAATTTACTTCGAAAGGGACAGATGTTTCTGTCGACACCAACAGTTCAGGATGCATTTCAGGCTCTTAAAACTGCTCTTGTTTCAGCCCCTGTTCTTGCTATGCCAGATTTTTCTCAACAATTTGTTATTGAAACAGATGCTTCGGATAAAGGTATTGGGGCTGTGTTAATGCAACAGAATCATCCCATAGCATTCCTCAGTAAGGCATTGGGACCACGTCATCAAGGTCTATCCACCTATGAGAAGGAAAGTTTAGCCATTATGTTGGCCGTAGAACATTGGCGCTCTTATCTTCAACATGATGAATTTTTGATTAAGACAGATCATCGTAGTTTTTCTTTCTTGACAGATCAGCGGTTAACAACCTCATGGCAGCAAAAGGCGTTAACTAAACTTTTGGGACTCCGGTACAGAATATGCTATCGACAAGGGCTTTATAATAAGGCTGCTGATGCCCTTTCGCGTTATCTTGTTCCTGGTCAGGAGGAATTGTCGGCTTTGTCTGTATGTGTTTCTGAATGGATATCTGAGGTTGTGGCTGGATATGCAAATGATGCAGATGCTCTAAGCAAAGTGCAGGTGTTAAGTTTCAGTGCATAGGCAATCCCTGATTTTCATCTTAAGGATGGAGTTCTGTATTATAAGAATCATATGTGGATTGGCAAGAATACAGAGTTGCAATTAAAAATTTTGAGCAATCTGCACACAGCTGCCATTGGTGGGCATTCTGGGGTGAATGTGACTTATCAGCGGGTACTTCAGTTGTTTGCTTGGCCTGGTCTTCGGTCGTCTGTGGCTAAATCTGTGCAAGCTTGTGACATTTGTCAACGAGCTAAGTCTGAACATGTCCGTTATCCTAGTATGTTACAACCTCTGCCTGTTCCGGATCATGCTTGGCAAATTGTGTCGCTTGATTTCATTGAAGGGCTGTCGAAATCTGCATCTTTCAACTGTATTTTGGTGGTAGTGGATAAATTTTCCAAATACAGTCATTTTGTCCCTCTTGCTCACCCTTTTACAGCACTGGATGTGGCTGAAGCATTTATGCAACATATTCATCGTCTCCACGGCTTACCTCAGTCCATCATCTCTGATCGGGATCGAATTTTCACAAGTACTTTGTGGACAACTCTCTTCTGCTTAGCTGGTACTCAGTTGCAAATGAGTTCTTCATATCACCCTCAAACAGATGGACAAACGGAGCGGGTGAATCAATGCTTGGAGACTTTCCTTCGCTGTTTTGTCCATGCTTGTCCTTCTCATTGGACTAAATGGTTGGCTTTAGCCGAGTATTGGTACAATACCTCGTTTCACTCATCTCTGGGCATGACTCCTTTCGAGGTACTATATGGGCACAAACCACGTTATTTTGGATTGTCTACCAATGCTGCTTGCTTATCTCCTGAGTTAACTGACTGGCTGCATGATCGGGCTAAGATGCAAAATCTGATTAGAGAGCATCTGCTGCGTGCTCAAACCCGCATGAAAATGCAAGCTGACAAGGGTCGTTCTGAAAGGTCTTTTGCTGTTGGCGATTGGGTATATCTGAAATTGCAGCCGTTTGTTCAGCAATCTGTGGTGACCAGAGCTAATCGGAAGTTGTCTTTTCGTTTTTACGGGCCTTTTCAAATTTTGGCTCGCATTGGCACAATGACTTATAAGTTTGCACTTCCTGAATCAAGTCTGATCCATCCGGTGGTTCATGTGTCGCAATTGAAGAAGGCTTTGGCGCCAGGAGAGTCATTCCAGGATTCCTTGCCAGTGCTCAACCCTGACGACGCATCAATAGTTGTACCAGCGGAGATTTTGGATCGACGTCTGATTCGTAAGGGCTCTAAGCAAGTACTTCTCGTCCAAGTTCGTTGGTCTGGTAATGATCCTACAATGGTTACCTGTGAGAATTATCATGAACTCTGTCATCGTTTTCCGGGAAATGAAGCTTGTGGTCAAGCTTCGTTTCAAGCATGGGGGAATGTCACGGCAGCGACAACGGATGACGACTACAGTACAAGGAGCACACAGCCCAGGGCCGGTCCAACCACGCAGCCCAAGAAATCAGACCGGCTCAAGAAGCCAAATACTAAGTATTTGGGAGAGGATTGGGTCCATTAGCTATGGGCCACAGTCAGTGAGAGAGAGAGGTCTTCTAGCGCTGTGCTATAAAGACCGGCAGAAGCTTCGAGAGGAGTAGACAATTTTGTAATCAAATTTTGAATTCTAAATCAATCCTCTCTCTTCTGCTAATTCCTGAGTTCTTCTTCTTCCTCACGTCTTCCTCTCTCTTTCTCTGTTCTTCCACTCAATCTTCCCCAATTCCTCCAAATTCTTCGATTAGTGTTCGTCAGAATCTCGAGAGCGTAACACTTATCCTCTCCACTCTCCCAATCTCCTCTCCCCGCGACCCTCCAGGCGGCGGCGGCGACGAGGGCGCGGGCGGCCGCGTCGACGGCCAGGCGCGGGCGGCGGCGTTGGCTAGGGCGCGGGCGGTGGCGGCTCGCCTTGTCGTCTTCCGGCTCGTCGTGTCCTCGTCGCCGTCCGCCGGCCCAGTCGGGTAGTGCGGGGCCCCGGTCACCCGCTAGGTCCCCTGCGGGGGCGAGTGACGTTTTCCACCCGACCACCTCTGCGGGGCCGGGGTCGGGGGGAGAAGTCGAGGAGCGGGGGCGGGGGCGGGGGCGTTCCAGCCCAACCCGCCCCCGACCCGCCCTGTTGCCAACCCTACACATCAACTTCCTTTCCCCTCTTCTCTCCCTTCCTCCCCCCTCTCTCTCTCTTCTCTCACAAACGGTCGGGCGAGCGGGGCTGAGCGGCGGCCAGTAGGTTGCCTGCCGCTAGGGGGCCACCACCTTCCCCACCTCCGCCTCCGCCTCCACCACCACCACCTTCTGGTCGCCGCTCCCTATCCACTGGCAGCCGCACGCGCGCGCACGCCTGCCGCCACCGCGCGTGCTCGCACGTCGCCTCCGCTAGCCGCCGCTTGATTCTGTTACTCGGTTAGATTGCTTCGTGTATTGTGGGAGGTTCATTGCGCGATGATGCCTCCGAATGGTCAGGACTTGCATGGCGGCAGCCTCGACGGAGGCGTAGTCGTGCTACCGCCTCCATCTCCGGCGACACCGCCGCTGCCTCCATCCAAGATGGACTGCTTCTTGTCCTCCATTTGCACGCCACTCAATCTCCAGCTGGTACATATCGATGATATAGATAGATGCTGCTATGTGTGGTTGAGGTGATTTTGATCTTTGGTTGGATGCTTGATGTGCTCAGTTCATCGACGTGGCGTCAAGGTGGAGCGGGCGACCACGGCGGTGGCGGCGGCGGTGAAGGAGGCGCGCGTCGTGCCGCGCCATGCAGCGGCGCATGGGGTTCGCGGCGCAGGACGACGTGCTCCACCCCACCTCACCATCCGTGAGACGCTTCTCTTCTGCGCCATGCTCCATCTCCCGACCTCCGCGCCCGCCGCCGCTGAGGCCGTCATCTCCGAGCTCGGCCTCGTGTCGTGCACCGACACCATTGTCAGCAATGCGTTCGTCCGCGGCGCCGCCTCTTCTGCGCCATGCTCCGCCTCCCGGCCACCGCAAGCTCGCACGCCGCCTCCGCCGGCCGCCACTCAGCCCCACTCATAGCCGCCCGTTGCTACTCCCCCGTGGCAAAGAGAAGTAAAAAAAAAAGAAGAGAAAAAAGAAAGGGGAAAGTTGACGTGGCCACCCGTTGCTACTACCCCGCGGCAAAGAGAAGTAAAAAAAAAGAAGAGAAAAAAGAAAGGGGAAAGTTGACGTGGCTTGCTGACATGTGGGTCCCACGCTGACTCAGCTGCCACGTAGATCAAAACCGGGTTCTCGAAGGATCTCGGGTGACCAGTTTTGTATAGGCAAGGGACCCCACATATCTGGTTTTACGGTTCGAGCACGGTTTTTTTATCCGATGAAAATAAATAGATTTTGACAAACAATGCCATCCCATTGCGCGGCTGCAAACGAACACATCACATATTTGTACTGGATTCCTCATTAGGCCAGATACAAAACTTTCTAGATCGGTGCTGCAACTCGCCGCATTTAGGCCATGTTCGATTTACTAGAGAATCTATGTTAACTGCAGATGTTTCGTCGAAAGTTTGGATCTCACCCTGTCTGAATTTTTCTGAAACGATAAGAAACCGTGGCGGAATTGGAGTAAATATATAGCAAAATTGTTATCGTTTGATTCGCATTCGAAAGGACTACAAACCAAATCAAAAAACGAAAGAAACCAAAAATAATATTACGGATTTTTTTTTGTCTGTCCAACTCCAAAAGCTAAGAACTAAAAAAAACTCTTGTTTATTCAATCGCTGTAGCAGCTTCGGATGGACTAGCTGTTCGCCTTGGCTTCCTTCTTGAGCTTCTTGTTGCGGCGGCGCCGCCGGTCGCTCTCCTCCACCCGCCGCACGGCGCGCTCCAGCGCGTCCACCCGCTCCGCCAGCGCGCCGATCACCGCGCACTGCTGCGCGCTCCGCTCGCACAGCGCCGCCACCATCTCCATCACCTTCTTCATCTCCACCCCCTCCTCCTTCTCTTTCTCCTCATCTTGGACCGCCGGTTCGTCGACCCGCGCAGCGGGCGCCGCCGAGCTCTCCACGGCCTCCACGTCGTCGTCGGCGGCGGCGGCCTCCAAAGGGGATTCTGCAGTCACCATCTCCCACTCGCCTTCCGCCTCTTCCTCCGCCTCCTGCATCTCTCCGCCCACCACCTGTTCGACCGCTTTCTCCGTCTCGGCCTCGCCGCCGGTGGCTTGCCCCCCGTCCACCTCCATCTCGGTGCCCGCCTCAGGAACCGGGATCTCCACCTCGGGCTTCGGTTCCGCCTCGACGCCGTGCTCCTCCTCGGCGCGCGGCGACCCCGGCGCCATCTCGTTCTCTTCCATGTCGACGGCATCGACGGCCGCCGGGGCGTCGTCCGCGAGCTGGGACGCGTCCTGCGCAGGCGACGGCGTCATCATGTCCTCCTGCGCGTCGTGAGCCTCCTCCATGTCGAGGGCCGGGGCGGCGTCGTCGGCGACCACGCGGGCCTCCTCCTCCTCCTCCTCCACGGGCGGCGCCGCCGGCACGTGCTCGAGGGCGTCGACGGCGTCCTGCAGCGCGAGGACCCGCTTGGTTACCCTCCTCCGGTACTCCCTGGCGCCGTGGACCGCGTCGAGCCGGAGCAGCAGCCGCATGAGCGCCTCCCCGAGGGCGACCCTCCCCCTCGCGTCCCGCCTCAGCGCCTCCGCCTCGGCCGCCACCTTCCTCGCCACCCCCTCCGCCTCCGCCTCCACCGCCCTCACCTCCCGCACCATCCTCCTCGCCAGGAACCCCCTCGCCGCCGCCTGCACCCTCACCGCCGCCGCCTCCCTCCCAATCCTCGCCACCGATCGCGGCGGACTCATCTCACTCTCACACCCCTTCGCCTTCGCCTTCGTCTCAGACCCAGCAAACTGCACCGGGACGGACACGGACACCGGCCTCGCCCTGCTCCTCCTCGAGGAGCTCGGGCGCAGCACGTCCACCGTCTCCACCGGCTCGCCGTACCTGTACTCCTCATCGGCCGCCGCCGCCGGGAAGAACCGCGGCGAGGCGTGGCGGCGGCGGTCGGTGGCGGCGGGGGCGGGGGTGTAGTACGGGTAGGCGTAGTCGTAGGGGGAGGAGGTGTAGTAGTAGTCGTAGGGGTCGTAGCCGAAGAATCGACGAGACGACGACGCCATTGATGCGATCTCCGAGCTTCTCTTGCCCTTTTTCGATTCGCCTGATCTGAATTTTGTTGCGATAGTGAGAGGGGGACACGAGGCGGTGGGGATTTATATGGCTTAAGAGGGGAAAGGTTCGAGAAGGATTCGGATTGTTTCGGAATGTTCTGGAGTCTCGGGGATTCGATTCGGAGACGGGTCGGACTCCGGACTAGTCCGTTCTGGAAGAGTGGGGAACGAAAGGATCGGCGGTGGATGACGTGTGGGGCCCAGCTGTGGGGTTGGGTCACGCGTGACGCACGCGCGACGGAGGCGGTGGGGACAGGCGGGTTTCGTGGGTTATTAGATTACAGTGCTGAGGGGGTTGTAGACCGTTGGATGGAGAATCGACGGCTCTGGTTGTGGCCGCTGTGGATATGTTGACTGCCACCGGTGGTGATCTAATCGACGCGATAAGATTTTTGTTTCTTTTGCTTTTTTGCGCATTAGTAAGATTATCAAAATTAACCTAACTTCGTATCGTAATATGGGATGACAATGTTTTGAGTTGTATGGATAAGCCTCTAAGTTAGGCCTTATTTAGTTCCCAAAACTTTTCCTAAAAACCGTGACCTTGCTCCGCGCCTATCCGATGCCGCTGGCGTGCCGCCCTGGAGCTCCACGTTCTTCGGCCGCCGCCTTGAGCTAGAGGGAGAATGGTCGTCGTGCCACCTCGTCACCGTCGGCTCGTCCCCTACGCTAGTCGTGCTCCTTGCAACACCTTCCGGCCAGCTGGACTCTCCAAGCTTAATTAGTCGCCACTGCGCGTCCCCTAGCACGGCCTTGGCGGTGATGTGGAGGCGCGTCGTTGACTTGCACTGCTGGACTGAAAGAGGAGAAAAGGAGAAAAGAAATAGGGGAGAAAAAAAAGTGACGCTAACACGTGGGTCCCACATGCTGAGTCAGCCGGTTTGACCGGGTCATAGCACCACGTCAACGAAACAACCCACTAAAACCGCTGAGAGAGTTAAATTACACCGGTTTTAATAGTTGAGGGATTAAGATATCCGGTATTGCAGTTCAAGGATACAAATTAGATTTCGAGCTATATTTGAGGGACTCAAAGTGGACTTCTTCCTTTTTCAAATGAACAGAACGGGCATGAAACCCAGATCAATAAACAGGGCCAAACTCGTCCATCAACTTCTGGGCTCGTTACAGAACACAAAACTCAACAAGCTCCCCCAACAAGAAGTCAGCACTCAGCAGCAGACTGACAATAAAACAACGCGTTTTTCACTTAATTTTACTCACCTTTTTTCTATATGTGCTTCCACTTTTCAACTATACGCTTGTCTCTTCTATCTCCTCTTCCAAGTACTCCCTCCGTTTCAAAATATTTGACACTGTTGACTTTTTAGCATGTGTTTGACCATTCGTCTTATTCAAAAAATTTAAGTAATTATTTATTCTTTTCATATCATTTGATTCATTGTTAAATATACTTTCATGTACACATATAGTTTTACATATTTCACAAATTTTTTTAAATAAGACGAATGGTCAAATACGTGCTAAAAAGTCAACGGTGTCAAACATTTTGAAACGGAGAGAGTATTACTTTTAGTCCTAATTCATTTATACATTGTGTATTAGAAAAATTACAATATAAATAATTGAACTTACAATGTAATTACAAGTATTGAAATTTATAGTGTAATAATAGCTACTTCCAGAGATCTTTTACAATGCTCGAGAGAGGTTCTCCAGATACCTCTCCTCAACTTAAACAATCTGCAGCAACCAAGAGGTTGCAGGAAATTAATTATACTGTCCTCGTTTTCTGACAACAGCTACTATCAGGTAACTCATTACTCAACATTATATAGAAGTGATAGAAATTAGAAAGAGATATGCCATATGAGTCTGAGCTCCTTAAATATCAACCGGATACTCTCGTTCCTGTTTCTTCAAGAAGGAAATCATATATTTCTATCTCATTATGTGAGGGAACTAATGTAGTATTCAGATATCATCTACTCCCTCCGGTTATGCCTATATGATGTTTGTTCACTTTTCGATCTACGTTTGACCGTTCGTCTTATTCAAATTTTTTTTTAAATATGCAAAATTATAAGTCATGCTTAAAATGTCTTAGTAATAAATTAAATCATAATAAAATAATTAGTAATCATGTAATTTTTTTAATAAGATGAATAGTCAAACATCAAAAGTCAACAGCATCAAATTAAAAAAAATGGAGGGAGTATTAACCAACATGTGACATATACACACGCACACTATCATCATAAGGCATATGTAATATATACTACATAAAAAAGTGGGGGTAGGAATAGTATTTGCATCATATATGGAGCATATCATATCCTGTCTATATGAATGTACTCCCTCCGGACTGATAATATTAGTTGTTTTGGACAAGGGTAAAGTCAAACTTCAAAATATTTGACTACAAATAATTTCTAAAATATTCATCTTAAAAATATGAAAATCATATGTGTAGATTAGTCTTAAAAAATACTTCAATAAAATCATATATTTGTTGACATTTATATATATATATATATATTATAATAGAAAATAATTGTCAAAGTTACTTTTTGAAGACCGTGCCCTTGTCCAAAACGACAAGTATTATCAACCCGGAGTGAGTACTAGGGGAGATGATTTTTAGCACTTGGGTGAACATCCACTCGTTTTTTACATGTTACCTAAATATATAATTATTAAAAAATTAATAAGATAGATTAATATTTGTTACAAACATGTAAGTTCAAACTAGTAGATACACATTCATAATTATATTTGTTACAACTTGTAGAAGTGGAATTTGAATTTAAATGTTTGTGAAATGATACATCTCATATTAATATATCTTTTCAAATTTTTATTTAGCTATTTAGATAACATGTAAGAAATGGGTGGATATTCACTGGGTGCTTAAAAAGAAATTTCCCATGTACTCCCTCCATCCCAAAATAAGTGCAGTTTTGCACTATTTATTTCCAACGTTTGACCGTTCGTCTTATTTGAAAAGTTTTTATGATTACTATTTTTATTGTTATTAGATGATAAAACATAAATAGTACTTTACGTGTGACTAATTTTTTAAAAAAATTTCATAAATTTTTCAAATAAGACGAACGGTCAAACGTTGGACACGGATTTCCACGGCTAGACTTATTTTAGGACTGCCTTCTGTCCCATAACATAAGATATTTTGGGTGAATGTGACACATTCTAGTACAATGAATCTGGACAGACCAGAATGTGTCGCATCCCCTGAAATCCCTTATATTATGAGATGGATGGAGTAGCTACTTCAAGATTTTTTCCACATTCCGCCATGCAATGCCGCATTGGCGACTCAATTGATCATGGCCGTCTCGGCCGGCGTCGGCGCGCGAGAGCCGTCTTCGTCGTCGTCGTCGCTGTCGCTGCCGGCGGCATGCACATACGCGACGTAATTTTAGCTATAGCTGCAACGCGTACAATCTTCCGACGTCCAACGGGTGACATTAACCTTTTGATGATTTAGACAGCGTACTGAAGCCGAGCCCAACGTACATCCAATCTTTTAACTACTTAGGCAGTGATTTTTTTTTTATGCTCCGATGGAGACAGGAGTACATGAAATGATCCTGGGTGCGTGGTCTGTGCATCATTCTGCGCAATCTAGCTTACTAGGGAATCTTCTTATTCTCTTTTATTGGCTCCTCCTTTTTGTTTTTTTTAATCCCACATGGAACGGTTTCGTTAGCTGCTAAGCAGAAGCCGCCAATAGAGCTAGCTAGCATAAACTCAAGAATAATTATTACTCTCCTAGAAAACAAAATCTTACTAGATAACGTCTTGAAGCACGTCCCTTTTTTGAGCCTCGACCTTTCTTCGTATTCCATGCCAAAATCCACGCCATGGAAAGGTTTTGTGACCTCCTAATTGAACACCAATGGAGCTAGGAATAAACATAAGAATAATTATTAGAAAATAAAATATTAATTACTAGTTAATTTGAAGCACGTCCCTGCATTGTTGTTAGGTTCATTGTCCTTTTGTACACAGTCTCACGAGAATGAGGATTGAGATAGGGAACAATGTGAACGGACGCCATAGGGACCTTCCAATAGGGGTTTTTGTGGTGATGATACAAAAAAAAAAAAACGGAAACTCCAACCCCAAACTGGATCATCTTAAATTTCAAAAATAAAATGCAACAGAAACGATATTAATTGATCATATCATTTCAAGTAATACATGTAGGAGCTTGACATGAGACATGAGGACATGATACACACACTGAGATCTGACTGGGGCAGTTCGATCGGCCCTTAATTTGGAACCAAACACAAACACACACGCACACTCAAACTTGCAGACGATGAGCACAAAGCTAGATAGGTAGCTGCATGACACTCAGAAGTTGTAGGTGAAGATGAGCATCATGAGCGTGTCATCTCTGGCAAATTCAGACAGGAACGAGGGCCGAGAAGAGATCAAAGATGACATCCCAAAGGCGAAGGGCCAGCACAATCCCACCGCCGCTGCAGCGTCCTTCCACCATTGCTTCCAGGCGCAACAGCAGAGCGTCCAGCTCCCACGCCAGAGCTGTCCTCGTCGCCGCGCCGCCGCCGCCGCCGCCGGGATCCGCAGTCGTACGCAGCACCACCCCGGCGATGCTCTGGCCCTCCATCAGAACGAGGTGGGTGTCCTGCATCTCCCACCCCGTGGGTTCCATGGACACCTCGTAGCTCATCTTGTTGGGGTCCTGCTCCATATATTAACATTAGTTACAACAAGTGTTCCAAGTTAACAGTAGGACACTATAAGAACTACGCCGGCGGCAGGTGAAAAATAATTCAGATATAGTTCCTCCATCAAGACTATTCTCTGTCTCCGTCCGTTCGAATGCACAGAATATGATTAAGGGGAAGAGGGACCAGGGACTTGAGACTTGCAGAAGAACAAATGATCAAATTGAATGGAATGGACGAACTACTAACCATCAATCCATGGGCGAGTTGATCAATCCTCTTGATCCCCCGTAGCACCCGTGCTGGCTCACGCGCAGGATCCATATGCTGTGCACGCTTCGGAGAAGGGAAACGCACCAA